GGCTGTGAGCTGTTGCCATGTTAGGTCTCTGTTTCTGCTCCTCCATGCTGTCACAGATGCTACCAGTGGATGGTATTGGCGGGACTCAGTCTAGCGATCTTTATATTTAAGTCTATGGGTCTGACTCAGTAGGGGAGGAAGAGGGAGAGACTAGGGTTGGGCATAATCGTATCGTGTGCAATTAATCGTCAGAAAAATATTAATCGATTATTTTTTAGCATTTGACAATTAATACGATTAATGCCAGCAGGTAGTCAGTTTGCTCMGTGCTCCTCTCCGCTTCAAATATGACGAACATTAAAAAAAGGTCTGTAGTTTATTAATCTAACAGCACAATTTAAATTTTGATGTACAGCCTGAAGTCTGTAATTTAGACACAGTTTGGAACAGACTTTTACAAAGAGCAAATCTTTCTAACTAAATTGGTCATGTGACCAGCACATAAATGGGTATCCAGGGACTCCAGGGGATTAATTGTCAAATTAATCGTTACCGGCTAAATACCACAACGAATCGTGATTAATTTTTTTGCCAATATTGCCCAACCCTAGGAGAGACCTGCTCCAGAACCTGGCTTATTGGGTCTACTAATAATAATTTAATAATAGTTTTACATTCCATCATACAGTATCAGCTGTAATATACTATATTATTATACCATTTTCAAACAGGACATTTGGGGATTTTATTGAGCAAAATTGTTTATATTTGGAACCAGGCTTTACGAAAAGTGTAATATATTTAATAATTAAATGTGAAATATAAATGACAGTTTTCTCATAGATTCTGTTTTGTTGACCAGTTTGTCTGTATAAATATCAGTCATGAGGTTTTTAATGTTCAAATTTTAGCTACAACAAAGTTCATATATTGATCTTTTTAAACATAAAAACCACCATAATATGCATGTTGATGCTTGATGATAAAGGTTGACACTGGAATGGTGATTTTGCAGTTGTGTTGTTAAATTAATATTTAAATTATGTATCACAGGTAATCACAGGTCTGCTCGGTACAAAATTACTTTAAACTGCGTTTTTCTTGATTTGCTTGAACAACATCTGCCTTGTAAAGATTTTTTTTGGTAGTGATACGTTGGTAGAAGTGTGTGTGTGTGTGTGTGTGTGTTTGTTTGTTTTTAGTGGGGGGGATTTCAGGCTCAAGTTTTTTTTCCACCATCACCACTGTAAATGTCGGTATCGGTTATTTTTCGATTTATCGCCCAGGCCTACCTCCTACTATTTCTGACACTCCCATTTCAGTAAATCTTCACAACAGTTGTTCGGGAGAGGCGTGTTCAGTTGGGTGGTAACTCAGTTCCAGGGAGGTGCTCAGTATAAATAGGCTGTGCTTTGTGCTAACAAGCATTTAGGCAGCTCTAAATGGCTACCACAGGAAATTCAAGGATTTCTCAAACATGCATGAATGAGTCAAAGCAACACTGGGTATGTTTTTGTTGAGGGAAAGACATAACATGATACAGTGGGGAGAACAAGTATTTGATACACTGTTGATTTTTCAGGTTTTCCCACTTGCAAAGCTTGTAGATGACTGTAATTTTTATCATAGGTACACTTCAACTGTGAGTGATGGAATCTAAAACAAAAATTCAGAAAAATACAAC